TTTCCTTGAACCATTGCCATTGTATTTAGCATTCTTTTGTTGGAATGCAATAGATAGATTGTGTATGTATCTCACAAAATGATAAATAACCACCACGTGGGGAAACCACTCCAAATTCATTTGTAGTGATTTTGCAATGCATCCTCAACGGTAAAGATTAACTCAGCAGGCGTCGCAAAAGCAAAGATGATCATATTTTGTATCACTCTTGATTAAGTAGGAAACGCGCAGTAGTAATGAGCGCTTAGAAATCTTAGGAGTAGAAATTGAGCTACCGCGCAAACTGAGGAACTTAGCGGCGCAAACGGCGAGCGCTTTTAACTGCGAAAAGGTTTCATTGTAACATTGAATAGATTGCTTCCTTCGTAATTTTACTGTATTCTTGTGAAGACCCATTGAAGTGTTTCCTTAATCATTGTAACGATCGCCCACGCTTTCTCCTACCATCATTATTTCTTCTGAGCTCACTTTCTGTAGATTACCGGCTCCTCCGCACCTACTTTCTCTTCTTCTTCTGCAAGCACAGTTCCCTATGCAAAACAAAGATTATACATTTGCTACCCTTTCATACTACTGCAAGGTAAATTAACTTGCATACAACTACATCACTATCTTTGTCCCCCTTCAGTCGCCATCTGGACAGAAGTTGGAAGTGACATTTGACATGATTAATTTCCCATGTTTGGATACTTGCACGAGTTTTGTTGAAGTAAAGGCTGCTCGCAACAAGATCCCCACAGGTGAGTACATCCCCATTCATCTTGCCTTCTCACTATCACTTCTCTATTAATGTTGCAAAAATTATTTAGGAGCACGACTATGTTGTAAAGCTGGACAAACTATATATTCTGAAGACGACGACCTTATTCTAATTTTCAGAGGAGACGCAAATATTCAAAAAGGCTGGAGAGGATTTACCGCTCGCTTTAGATACTGTGAGTGCTCATCTCTGCAATAAGAAGTTGTCAAACATGAGAAAGCCAATTTGCGATTTTAGATGGAAATGCAGTCCCTACGAAAGAGCTTATAGTGGCCACAAACGAACCGCAGACAACAAAAACAACAACAGCTACTACTACTACATCTACTACTACTGTTACTTACACTTCTACTACTACTACTACTACTACTACTACT